CCACCGGGCAGAGTCTGGGTGCGGTGCGCATGCAGCCTCACTTCCAAAACCATGGTTGGTTTGAAGTGAGGGAGCCGAGGGCAGGGAGGTGCCCTGCTGGCCACAAGGCTGTTTTCACAGCTTCTCACGTAGCATCAGGAGCCCGCCAGCCGGACCCACACTGTGGCCTTGTTCCCCTCAGGCCTCCACATGAACCCGCCCAGGGGCCTGGCTCGACTCCACTGCTGGCACTGGTCGGGGAGCTGTGTCTGCTCTCCATCTCGAAGCAGCTTTGTGGGAAGTGTGTGTGGACATTGGGGGTGGGTGGGTGTGCCCCCGGGCAGGACGCTGGCACAGGGAGCAGCATGCGGCTTTATTTGTCACCGGCAGCATGGGGAGCTCCTGTAAGCTTTTGCTGTGGAAGATGTCACCCCAGGCTAGCTCAAGGGACTAACAGGTGGATGAGGCTAGTTCTCCTCGGCCCCTGGCTGGCTAGGACTCTAGGGATGTTCAGGGCAGATTCTGGTCCGGAACCTTCTGAAGGCCACTCACCCTTATGTTGGATGACCAGTGGGAATATGGACACATGACCGCTCTGACTGGTTCTGGCAGCCAGGCGAACCACAGACAGCCATGTCCCATACTTCCCTGGAAACACTTCTGGGAAACGGGAAACACTTCAGGACATTGATGTAGGCCATACCTTTCTTTTCTTTTTTTCCTTTCCTTTTCTTTTTTTTCCTCTTTTTTTTTTTTTTTTTTTTTTTTTTTAAGGTTTGTTTTTAGATTTGTGTGCCTGAGTCCAGAAGAGGGCTTTGAGAATCAAACTCAGGTCCTCTGCAAGAGCAGTAAGGAATCTTAACCACCGAGTGACCACTTTTTTTTGAGGCAGAGGCTTAGGTACCCCAGGCTGGCCCCAAACTCACAGTGCAACTGAGGATGACCTTGAATGCCTGGTCCTCCTGCCTCTGCTTCCCAAGGTCTGATTGCAGGCCATCATCCTTGGTTTACAGGGTCAGGGAACCCAGGGCCTGCTAGGTGAGTGTCCTTCCCACTGGGCTACTACCCCGGTTCAACTCTTTCTGAATTCATCCACACAAGCCCACAACCTCACCCCAGTCAGAGTAAATGCATTCTTCCTTCTTCCCGGAGGGACCCTTGGGCCTGTCGGAGGGAGCCTGAACTGCCTGCCACCTTCTGGATCAGAGATCCCAGCAGAGTAAGAATTTGGCAAGATCAAGGGGGTTTGGGGTCACCTCCTCCCATGGATATCATGGTCAGCTATTTGAACCAGAGCTGGCCCACAGATTTGGGAACATTTGAAGTTGCGTTTCGGGTTTTGTTTTGTTGTTTTGTTCTCTTCCCTCTTCATGAACATCAGCTTCTTAACTAGTAACAGCCGAACTTGGGAACCCACATGTCTGAGGTCCGTATGGGCCCTCCGGGCTCGGCAGCTCTAAATGATTTTCTAATCCAAGAAAACAGAGCTCAGAGGCTCTCACCATGCCTTCTGGGGAAGCCGTTGGAACAATTCTGTCACCTGTCTCTGATGCGACGCTGCTGAACACACAGTCACTGCGGGAGACTCTAGCTATTTACTATAAAGTCTAAATTTAGAGAAATAATTTGCTTCCAAACCGCAGGGTCCGTGTTTCCACCACATGCCAGCCACAGGTGGCCAGTGGCTGCCACACTGGGCAGTGTCCACGTGGACTGCGCCCATGACCATGGAAGCCTAAGGGACACTCACTTCCTGTGACTGGGTTTCCCTGTTGTTCGGTGTTTTTTTATATTCTTCCAGAACCTTCTTTTAAGGATATATTAATGCACTTAACATACTAGACCCCAGGTACCCACCATTTGTGACCCCGAAGGGTGTTTTATGTCTTGCCAGGGATGTATCCGCTAAGACGCCGGAAGCCGCCTGTCTGTGGGAAATGGGCTAGACTCCCCCTTCTCAGCCTCCTCCTCCATCTGGGTAACAAATGACCTTCACAGTGACAGATGAGTCAAGGGCTTGACTGAGCCAGCTGCAAGTTGATCAAAGCTAAGCCAAAGGCCATGGGAATTACTTTGAAGTAGGACCCACCGAACCAGAACGGAGTCCTCTCGCCACGCCAAAGGTCCCCTGGGCCCTGCGTGAGCCCCAGGAACGGTGATGTCACAGGGTCAAGGTGTCACCAGCTTCCTCCCCGGAGTTCTGCCTGCAGTGAGGTGAGGTCTTTACAGGAGCCCTGTGCTAGCTGCTGTCAAAAGGGGGTGGTGTCACTTCCCTGCAGTCTGGGGACATCTGGCTGCCTGCTGAGTTCAGTACCACCACAAAGGACCAGCAGGGACCATTGTCACTCTTAGTCCAGCCATCTTCCAGAAAGAGAAACCCTAGACTGTAGGCTCCTTGTCTGAATATGCCCACCAGAACAGGTGCCATGTCCTAGGACGCCAGCCACACAGACGCCGGAGTCCTAGGACATGGGACATCGGGGTCTTAAGACAGTGTCACATCTTAAAGGCCATGTACATCTGTCACGACCCCCGGGTCATTCTGTGAGCCCACCCTGACTCCGGTCCCTGTTTCTTCAAGAGCTTGGATCTGCTCAGCCCCAAACGCACTCAGCCTGTGAGTGGGAACGAGCTGGGCATCAGCCACGGAGCCCAAGACCAGTGAGAGGCTGGGACCAGCAAGATTCCCGAGATGGGATCCAGACAGGTTCCAGAGTGGATGTCTGAGAGGTTCCTATTTCCTGCTGGCGGCGTCATGACACTAAGTCCGTCTTTACCAGCTGGGGTTTACGGGGAAACTTGAATCCTATGGTGGTTCTGCTGGACAGAGCGCCCGAGGGTCTCTGAACACAGCTCACTCTTTCTTTCTCTTTTTTGGTTTTTCAAGACAGGGTTTCTCTGTGTAGCTTTGCGCCTTTCCTGGAACTCACTTGGTAGCCCAGGCTGGCCTCGAACTCACAGAGATCCGCCTGGCTCTGTCTCCCGAGTGCTGGGATTAAAGGCGTGTGCCACCACCGCCCGACTCAGCTCACTCTTTCTTATGGTGCCAGGACTGAGGGTCACAGGCGGCTCTGCCCTGCCAGGCCTCTGACCATGCTGGGCGGCCACGTACAGCAGGCCACTAGAAGGGGCAGCATGGGGGGGGGGGTTTCCCTCATCTGGCCTCCCACCCTCCTCGACCCTGTCATCAGAGCTTTTTAGAGCGTGCAACAGGCACGAGGGGCATCTCCCTGCACCCTGGCTCTGAAAACTTCCCAGTAAACCTAACAGATCCATGAGAGGCCGCAGTGGGCCTGGTTAATCATGTGTGCGGAGGAAGGTAACGGCCCCCCGTGAGGGGGGAAATGACAGCCACCAGACCACCAGAGGTCACTCAAGCTGTCAGCAGTTGCGGGGTCCACCCTCCCTTAGAAAGTGTGCGTGTCACTCATCCCAGGGTGAGGACAGGTAGCGCCCGGGGAGGAGTCCCATGACCTCTCGGCCTAAGCACAGACTCGTAATGTCAGCTTTCCCCAGAGTAATTAGCCGTCCTGCAGATCCGCTGTTTTTCTTTCTGGCCCCAGAGTTAATTATCAGAAATGAACTGCGAGCCTGTTTTCCTGTTGGTCCGTCGGTCTTTACAAGCCGAGGGCACACGGAACCGTGTGGTTCAGGCCCTGCGCGTGTACACAGCGGCCAGCCTGGATGAATAAAGTCTTTATCCACAGTTCCCACTCTTTCCCAAAGCAAGGCTTTAAGATAGCTTACCAAAAAATAACAGTTATAACTAATAAAAATAAAAAGATACGTGTAACAGACATGCCAAGTCCAGTGAAAGAGTGTGTCGTCAGCCACCCTCCGAGCAACGGTGTGTGATGGTTCAGCCCGACAAGTCCTGGGAGCCGGACCAAACAGGGAGACTCTCCTCTCTCATGTGCAGAATGAAAGACACAGCAATTCCTGTTTATTTCTGATTCCTCATTCTGAAATACATCGTACGTTGGGATTTAATAAGGAATATAATAAGGGATATCGTGTTATAGTAATCTTGACAATGGTGTGGTAGCAGATGCATATACAAAACTTGCTCTGTAGACCGGGCTGGCCCTCGAACTCACAGAGATCCACCTGCCTCTGCCTCCTGAGTGCTGGGATTAAAGGCGTGATGATTCTCCCTCCCTCCCTCCCTCCCTCCCTCTCTCTGTCTCTCTCTCTCTCTCCCCCTCTCTCTCTCTCTTCCTTTTTTTGTTATTTATGTGTATATATGTGTATCTGTGTGTAGATGTGAGCATGTGAGTACAGTGCCTGTAGTGACCAGAAACAGGCACTGGAAGAAACTCCCTTGAGTTGAAGTTTCAGGCAGTTGTGAGCTGTCTAAAGTGGGTGCTAGGAACCGAACTCAGGTCCTCTGGGAAAAACAGCAAGCGCTCTTAACCACAGAGCCAGCCCCATGTGTTCTCTAAGCCAATGCCCAAATGCCCCTTTGCCGGAGAGACCATCTCTGGCCACCTTGCTCCTGTGCTGTCACCTCTGGTCACTTTACTTCGTATCAGGTGTCACCCCGCAGCCACCCTGCTTGTCTCGCTCCCCTGCTCAGGAGACCAAGGAATTTATCTTAAGCATGTCATACCGTGCTTGCAATCACCACATAAATATCACACACTCGGCGTGTGGCTGACATCCCCAAATGCCAAGGATACAAGGCGTGGCCAAGTCTACATCTACAGTCATGGATGTTATGTACTGCCCAACTGTCACTTATAGGCCAGGGAGAGACTCTGTCTCAAAACCCTGGTGCAGCCGGGCGGTGGTGGCGCACGCCTTTAATTCCAGCACTCGGGAGGCAGAGCCAGGCGGATCTCTGGGAGTTCGAGGCCAGCCTGGGCTACAGAGTGAGTTCCAGGAAAGGTGCAAAGCTACACAGAGAAACCCTGTCTTGAAAAACCAAAAACCAAAACAAAACAGAACAAAAAACATGGTACCTAAGGAACACACACACACACACACACACACACACACACACACACACACACACTTTTTTTTTCAGTGAGTCAGTGTAAAGAGACACAGAATCTCAACCCCCAGGCCACTGTGACTTGGCTGGGGTGGCATCTTCCAGCCCACAGCCAAGCCATCAGCTCAGCTTACTTCCTAGACTGGGACCAAGAGCACCCTGGTCTACACACACAACCTAGCACTGCTTCCCAAAGCCAGCAGGCTCCACAGGACTGCAAACGGCTCATACCCCTGCTGTGGCTCAGGCGTCTGCACCTCCTGAGACAGCAGTGCCCTCCTTAGCTTGTGGGTTCTGACAGGTTGCCTCGAACTTCTCAAACAACCTAGCAGGAAGTTATGGCCAGCCCCCTCCTCCCCTCGGCCCCCAAGTCAAGAACAAAGAAACAGAGACACATTTGGCAGTTTCTCCAGATCTGCTGGGGCCTGGCCTCAAGGTCACAGGGGAAGGTAGTCACAACCCATAAAAGTGACGGGAGACACATCCCATTGCCTGTGTTATTCTTGGACTGAGGTTCCATTCTGGAGACACTTGAGCCCCAGGAATGGGATCCCTGAGGGTGTTGCATATCTTCCTGTGGATGGTGTGGGGGACACATAGCAGAATGGGGCTGGGGACCCTCAGGTTGTATAAGCTCCATCTCACTTTGTCCTGCATGGCTGTTTGGCCCTCGTCTGTCTGAGCTCCCACCCAAAGAATGGATGGAGGTGACCAGGTGACAAGGTTAAGAAATGACATCCCAGCAGAGAGTGCATGGGCCGGCGGGCCTGCAGTGGGAGGTGGTTGTCCTTCCCAGTAGGCTCAGGCTGGCCCACCTCATTCTTTGAATGTTTTGCCTGTGGCAGAGACCCCAGGCTGCTGCCGCCCTGTCACAGCCAGAGTCCGGTGTCAAGAAAGACTCCTGTGACCGAGCCAGGCACCGAGCTGATTGGAAGCTGTGGCTGGCAGGCCATCTCACGTCCTCACCTGGGTGACCAGGTACAAGGGGACCTCCAGGCAGAGCTGGAGGCCCAAGCTCGTTTGTTTTTGTGTTGGTGGGTGGACTACACCTCACTGGTTCTCAGTTTGCAGTGGGAGCAGCCTCAGCCTCCCCAGGCTGCCAAGTGAGAATATGGTTCCGGCTCCGGCCCGGCTCCGGCTCCGGCTCCGGCTCCGGCTCTGTATTGTGGTTCCCTGAGCTTGGACCATTTGGATCCCAGCCCCTGTGGCCATCACATTCTTGCCATCTCAGGGACCTGAGAGGGCACCCAAGAAAGGCAGGCTCCGGGCTGTTTCCCTGCTCTTTTTTAGAGTCCTCTGCTGGGGCACAGACTACAATATCCCAATTCAACACACTTTTCTCTTTTTGTTTGCTTGTGTTTGTTTTTGTTTTTAGAGACAGGGTTTCTCTGTGTAGTTCTGGATATCCTGGAACTCACTCTGTAGACCAGGTTGGCCTCGAACTCACAGAGATTATTCTACCTCTGCTTCCTGAGTACAGATAAAGGCGTGTGCCTGGCTTTCAACAACCTTTACTGTCTCTCTCTCTTTTTCCAGTTTTCTATGACCAAAGGTCACAGTCCACAAGCACCCCCACCACCAAGTGCGGGAGCACAAATGACCCCTGCCCCTTATAGAATATTGCTTCTTCTACCATTTCCTACACCTGGGGCCCTGCAGGCAGCCTTGTGCATTCAACTGCTCACATGTGATGTGATGCTTCTGAGTCATGTGTGTCCTTATGTGTGTCAAAGATCCACCCCAGGCCCTGCTGATCAGTCTTCTTCTTGTCCACTCAGCAGCTGATGGACAGTTGGGCTGGTTGTGAAAAGACGACGCGGTGATGTTGTCCATTGCAGCCTGCAGGTACTCACACAGACTTCTCTTCCATGGCTCTTACATGCCCCTCACAGAATCACTGTTACACTTCTATTGAATCAATCACTGCTACACTTCTATTGAATCACTGTTACACTTCTATTGAATCACTGTTACACTTCTATTGAATCACTGTTACACTTCTATTGAATCACTGTTACACTTCTATTGAATCACTGTTACACTCCTATTGAATCACTGTTACACTTCTATTGAATCACTGTTACACTTCTATTGAATCACTGCTACACTTCTATTGAATCACTGTTACACTCCTATTGAATCACTGTTACACTCCTATTGAATCACTGTTACACTTCTATTGAATCACTGTTACACTTCTATTGAATCACTGTTACACTTCTATTGAATCACTGTTACACTTCTATTGAATCACTCTTACACTTCTATTGAATCACTGTTACACTTCTATTGAATCACTCTTACACTTCTATTGAATCACTGTTACACTCCTATTGTTCCTGCCTGGCTGTTTCTCAATGTCCCTCCCCTTTGCATTCCCATCAGTCACGCTTGAGAGTTCCAGTTGCTCCAAATCCTTGCCAACACTTGATGTTGTCTGTCTTTTTAACCTTAGCCATTACATGGGGCGTGTTAGGCTCTTGTCTCATGGCTACAATCAAATGCTGACAAAAGCAACTTGAGGAGGAAGGGTTTGTTTAGGCCCACAGTTCTGAGCAACACAGTCATCACAGGCAGAGAAGCCTGGGCAACAAGAGCCCCAGCCCATGAGCTACCTCCCTCAGCCACATTCAGGGCTGCTCCTGGGAGGCAGGTGTGAGCAGAGCAGCAGCCTCTGGAACACCACCCATCCAAGATGCCTCCTGCCACAGGTTTTTGCAGTATCCATACAGCTTTGAGGAGACATAGATCTGCAGGTTTTCCTGGGACACATTGGTGTTTTCACTCTGCCTGCCTTGTGTGGTCTCTGTCCTGGTTTAGTTACCTCCATTGTGATAGATGGGGCTTAGCAGGACCCAGGCTGCTTGTAGGCCCTTGGTCCTCCTTCCTTAGCTTCCTGGCCTCCACTGTCCCTGTGAAACACAGACAAGTGGGATGGATGGAGGGCTCAGCCATAGAGGTGATACTATTATGAGGTGAGAAAGCACCCAGTGTGTCACATGGACCTTTTATGATGGCTCAGGTACTAGGGAGGCAGCACCCGCTGTCCTCCCTGGCGGGCCCCCAGCAGGATTTCATTCACTCCACAGTTTGGGATTAGGTGTTTTCATGGGACCCCCGACTTGTTAAGGTTCTTAGGATTCAGGATGCTGCCCTCCTCACTGGCATCGCTTAACCTCCACAGTGAACAGGGGAGGGTCCTCACAGGCAGGACTGCCCGGGACAGTAGGGGAGGAAGGCTTGATGGCTCAATCATTCCCCTGGGAGGCTGAGGCAGGACAGTCACACGTTCAAAGCCAGCCTGGGCTACAGAGTGAGACCCTGTCTCAAAATAAGAAATGAAAGGAGAGCTAGGGGCTGCAGCGTGAGTGAGGCCCTGGGTTCCACAGTAGGACTTCAGAAGGAAGGCAGTTGGTGATGTGGGGTATCTACCAGAGAAGCCTATCCAGACACACTTCCGCTAATAGAAAGTCTTGATTAGCCATCTGGTGACCACACTGGATGTTCAGGACCCCAGCGTAGGCCCGAGCCTCTCTCAGGGTGAGCTTTGAAGCGCAAAAACCGCATTCTTGCTTGACACACCTCAGTTAGCAAGAGCAGTCGAGGAGAAAGGTTACTACGGTTAGGGACTTTCCCAGAACCGTGGACTTGGATGGATCGGGCGGGTCGTTGTTCTTGTTGGCAGGTGTTGATACCTCCATGCTGGGTTTTAAGGCCTGAATGAACTTCCATCATGGTGTCAGCTGCGCTAAGGTCTGGGGGTCTGTTACACTGATGGAGTTTTACTGAGATTAGGTCATATGGAGAAAGAGGAGGCCTAAAGCCCATGAACTGTACCGGCTCCCAGACTCCTTAATTTTCTCAAAAGCTTGTTAGCATTTAACAACCTCATTTTCTTCAAATTTTCCTTGATGATCTTGTGGATCAGGCTCCTAATTTTCCTTCCAATCTTCTCTTCACTGAACTCATTCTAACTTTCTTACCATGGCTTGAAGATACTGTGTAAATAACCTCGTGCTTTGGGCTGGCAATACTAATCCCAGGCTAAATCTGGTCTGTCTGTCAGTAAATCTTTATTGACACACGGCAATGCCCACTGCTGTGAGGACAGATCCACAAAGTGATCTCCTACCTGCACAGATCAAGCATGCTGAACCGGGGCTAAGTGTTTAGCGAGGGTACCAAGGGTGAAAGGTGGGGTGCACACAGTCAAAAGCTTCAGAAATCCGGCAAACCTACCTGAGTCCCATTGGGCATGGCCCATAGACCACAGGACACCCTCAGCCTTCAGCCCACTTCCCTTTCCTTCCTGCTCCTTCCCTTTCTTTGAGGGGAGAATGGAAGCCAGGGCCTTGGACATTATGCCTAGGCTCTTACACAGAGCCTCACCCCTATCCCGGTTCACAGGCATGACAGTCACCAGCCATAGATGGTACTGGAGCTCCTGAGCTGGAGTGAGTCACACTGGGATGCAATACACCTGTAAAACACACCGATTTTAATGGGTTGCTATGAAAAATGAACGCAAGCATACACATCAATCTCCAGCTTAAATTATAATCTTGGACCATTGGACTGAATAAAAATAGATGATTATAATTAATTTCACCTGTCTTTCTTCCCGCCCTCATTGCTATGGCTACTAGAAAAATCTCGCCTGCGTGTGTCATCCCATCTACGGCTCAAATGTCGTGTCTGTCACTTAGTCGATAATACCGGAGCATCTATCTTCTTCAGTTCTGTTGGCCGACAGACACTATGTGAGATCCGCAAGCGAGTCCTCCGGCCTCTGGGAGCCTCATTAAGGAGAACAGCGTGACATCTCTCCAGGGTTCAGTTCAGGGCAACATGTGAACAACACATCGCCATGACACCCAACACATGCTGGGTAAGCAAATGAGATGTCATTGCCGCCTCTGCCCCCTGCTCTGAATCCTATCACCCCCTCCCCCCGCAGTGTCCCCATAAAACCTCCCACCTCCAGGGGTGCCCGGGTGGCCCTGTTTCTGAGCATGGACAGTCTTTCCTGTGCTGTCTGGCTCCTGATCATCCAGTCAGTCTGCGAGTGACCTATATGCCCTCGCCCTACCCCATCCATCACTCTTCAAGGGGTCACTGGTGAATCCCTTCTGCCCACACCCTGGACCCCCCCTCCAGTGTTTCAAACCACTGTTCCCTCACTGGCTCCATCCTTGGCCCTTTCAGATGAAAAGTGAACCAAACTTGCGGAGTTCCTCTGAAACGGTAGGAGAGGAACCCTAAAACAGTGGACCTCAAAGAATTACCATTGCCACGGGGAATCCCATGAATCACAGAGAGCCAGCCGAGGCCCTGACAGGGAGTTTCGCAGCCCTGGTGAACAAGGCTCTGGGTTTTCATTTCGTCCTTTATGTACAAATTCTAACACTGACACAGGAAAAAGCAAGAAACTAGAAGGTTCTCTCTCCCCAGAGCTGGCCAAACTGTAACTAGATCCATTTTTTTTTTTTTTTTTTTTTTTTTTTTTTTTTTTTTTTATCAATCTCTGTTTCCTAATTTCTTTGGAACACAGGGAAAGCGAGGCAGCAGGTTTACCAACCTAGGTGTCTGGTTCAGGGATAGCTCGCTCACCCGCGCCCCCATGACTGAGTCTCCCTCAGGTGGGTAAGGCGAGGAGGCCGCTGCCACTCTCATGGACAGTGAGGCCATTCCTGCTTGGAAATGCCTATCTCCAGCTGGCTGGGACCTGCCCCCGCTGCCCAAGGCCAGAGGTGCCTGTGAGGAAGACAGCCCATCCGTGTCCTCCACACCAGGCCACCAGAGAATGGGGATGTCAGGGCTCCCAGCTCCTTGTATCGTTATATGCTGAGCCATAAACAGCTCTCCAGGCCCCAAATTAAAAGGTCTTTTATTGGGAGAACAGACCCAAACAAATGCCGGCCTCCAACTGAAATGCACAGACAAAGCAGTGCCCAGGGCTGCGGTCCACATAGTCGGGAATGTGAGCCAAGCCCATTGATGTAAGCACGTGAAGAAGGAGGAAAGGTCCCCAACCAGATCAGCATATCCAGTCTCCAGGTCCAAGGTCCTGGACCCCCAGGAAGAAGGGCAGACACCCCACCTCCCAGTCAAGAACTCCAGCAAAAGGCTGATGCCAGAGAGAAGGAAATCTTAGACATGCCAGGGACTGTGTCCCCTATCTGGGCCTGTCCCTCATCTGGGACCCAACATGAGCTGGCATCTGGTCTTTTTGTCTGTTCCCTGCCAAGGCGACCTGGTTCTTAGCTCCATGCCCAGTGACCTGATGATGGCAGGTATCACCAAAGCCCAGAGGGATGTCCCATCCCCACGGACTCAGTGTCAAATGGCAGCCGTGCCACAGTCTTGTGAAGCCGATTGTGTCTGTACATTTGTGTGTCTGCATCACGGAGCCCAGACGGTCCCGTGTCCCACTCGGCGGCCACGGGAGCCACCCAGCAGCAGAAAGAGTGTGGGACATGAGACTCGTTACAGCCCAGAGTGAACTGAGGCTCAGACCAAGGGACCCCCAAGAAGGACAGAACATAAGAAGATAAAAGCTATGGGAGTGACTGTCACCCCACCCCATCACATTGGCCACAGCAGGTCACAAGCCAAGCCTGTCTCCAGGATGGTAAAGGAAGCTGCCACTGTCATTGAGAGCAGGGCAGCGGGATAAGAAAGGGGCAGGTGGCACAGGCTCATTCTTAGGTGTTCTAACGCTGCCCCCCTGATCTAGACTACTACGCCGCTGTCAGGGAAGGTGAACTGTTAACAGACAGCCGGGCAAAAACAAAGGACACTAATCCACTACCTCATAGGGCAGACACTGCTATCTACCTCTGGGTCAGGAAACTGAAACAAGGAGGCTGGAGAGACGCTGCAGAGGCTAAGAGCGCATGCTTCTCTTCCTGAGGATGCAAGTTCGTTTCCCAGCATGCACAACCACTCATAACTGGTCTTTGCGGGCACACGCACTCAAGTCTGCTTACCTACACAAGATACATAATTAATTATATAAAGGAAAGCAAATCTTTTTTTTGAAATATCTTTTTTTATTTTTTTTAATCTTTTTTTTAAAGATTTATTTATTATTATACAGTGTTCTGCCTGCACGCCAGAAGAGGGCGCCAGATCTCATTACAGATGGTTGGGAGCCACCATGTGGTTGCTGGGAATTGAACTCAGGACCTCTGGAAGAATAGCCAGTGCTCTTAACCGCTGAGTCATCTCTCCAGCCCAGGAAAACAAATCTTAAGAAAAACAGAAGAAATGAATTCTAAATACTAAGGACAGAAGAATTAATGAAACAAAACAGAACAAAAACCTCCTCAGAAGTTTGGGCTGCGGGTCAGCTGTAGAACGCTCGCTCACCTGGTGTGTACAGAGAGAGCCCTGGGACATTGCCAGCATAGGAAAAGGGGGAAAGACGTGGGCCTGGAGAGACAGCTTAGAGGTTAAGAGCACTGTCTGTTCTTGTAGAGGACCAGGGTTCAGTTCCCAGCACCCACATCAGGCAGCTCACAACACCTGTAACTCTAGTTCCAGGGGATCTGTTTCCCTCTTCTGGATTCCACAGGCACCTGCACTTACGCGCGCGTGCACGCGCGCGCGTACACACACACACACACAGAGAGAGAGAGAGAGAGAGAGAGAGAGATGCACATGCACATGCATATGTACAATTTTTTTAATTAAAATAATTAACAGTCTCTGTAACCCCTCACCTCCACGAGTCTCCATTCTTACAACTTGGCGTGCTCTTTGTCCCGAGCCTCAGCTTGCTTCACTAATCAAAACCTCATGACGCCAACGTTGTCGGGATCCATTCCACCCATTGATCTGGGCCCTCTTCAGCTGCCGTGGGATTGGTTCCTAAGGACAATCCCGGGAGCTCTGTGACTTCACACGAGGGATGCCCTTACCAGAGAAGGGCTCAGAAGGATCCCTGAGTCTCCACCCGCCTCAGACCTGGAGAGAGCAAGAAACAGAGCAGAGAGGATACAGAGACCTTGGCTCCAGATGCTTGATTTAGCCTCACCTTGGGGCTGGCCGCCTCGGATCACTCTACAATCCTGAGGTAGGTCGAGATGTGCAACTACTCTCTCCAAGCTTCAATTTTCTCATTTCAGCTCAGCCCTGTGTGTACTGTGGTCAACAGAGGCAACATGATGGGGCAGGGAGGGTGTGCCCTACACATACCTGTGTGTATGTGTGTGTGCGTGTATGCACGTGTGTGTGTGTGTGTATTTGTATACATGTCTGTGGGCGTGTTCACATGTGTCCTGTAAGGGAGAGGACTTTGGAGACCCAGTTCAGCAGAACTGAGCTGTGACTGTGACTCCCGTGGCATCCTGTGGTCACCTCTGGTTAGCAAGGTGTGACTACAGGAAACATTGACTCTTAGTTGTCCTAGAATGGCATGGGTGCCACTGTGCCCCCTCACCCTGGAGGGGCTATTAGGAGCCTCAGAATTTGACCCGATGGGACCCTGGATGGGGTGGACCTCAAATGTAGCATCCTATCTGCTTCGTCTGCCTGACCTCTTGGTAACAGGGTCTTGTAGACAGAGCTGAGATCCTTCGTGTGCTGGTCAACAGTATAACGCACCCAGACAGGCAGTGGGCATCACTAGTGGGGCCTGACGTTCCGGGTCATACGCCACTCAGGTGCCAAGTCTGGCAAGAGGCCAGGCAGATATGCCCCGTACCTGCCTCAAAGCCCCGACCTTGTCCTCATCGCCACCTCACCCTCACAATTGCCAACACAACTAGCCAGGCAGTGTGACGTGTGACAGCCAGCAGTGCATGCCGGGACAAGTGACACCCTGCCCTGAAGCTGTGGGAGACCATCACAAGCCACTACTGGATTCCATCTGGGACAGGATCTCTCCCTGAACCCAGAGCCCATTGATTCGGCTAAGCTGGCTGAGCAGCGTGCTCAGGGATCCACTCATCTCTGTCCCCAAAGGCGGTGGTTCCAGGAATCCACCACCATGCCAGTGTGTGTGTGTGTGTGTGTGTGTACACATGCTCTGGGGATCTGACCTCAGGCTTTCCTGCTGGCAGGGCAGCCTCCCCAGTCTGCTTTGTTTTATGTAAATTTGCCAGGCAAATGCAAAGCAATAAGCAAATGAGTGAGCGCGCCCTGCCCTCACCGTGTCCCCAGGTGCTGCTCCTTCCTGCTTTCCAAGGAGTTTCCTCCTCGGTCCATGCTGTGAGCCCCACGGGGCCTCATTCTCCCTCACCACCCATCATTTCCCCCTATAACGTCTCTTCTGTCTTCACTGTCGGGACCCACACAGGTTTCCTAGTGAGAACTTACTCAGGGTCCGAGAATCTAGGCTTGCTTTACTTAGCAGGGCTGCATAAGGGGATGATTGGACCACGGGCGTGGTTACCAGGTGTTTGGAAGGGGCTACACTTGGCTGTGTGGTGTGCTTTGATCTAGCAAGGGGGAGGTCTTTGGCCCCGCCCCTTGACATTGTTATAAAAAGGCCTTTTGAAGAGAGAGATGGGGCCGGTGGGTTTTGACTCAGGTCCTCCCAAAGCTATCCTGTGTCTCTGTCTTTTTTCTCGTCAACTAGGTCTCTCTTTCGACCTAATCTCTTATCCCTCTCTCCTCCTCATAGGAAACCCTTTTAAAAGGTGGGAGCTGGCCTCCCACACCTCGCCAGGAGTTGCAAGGCAGGATTCCTGATGACTGAGGAGAGGTTGCAGGAGTGGGGTGTCTCAACCTACGGCCTGTTGTTTAGAAGCTTCGGGACCACAGAAAGGGCACTAGGATCCTGAGTGTCCCCAGCTGTACAATCCCCAGTAAAGCCATACTCAGAATGTGACTCTCCAGAGGCAGGGTCAAGGATGAATGCTGAGGAGGCTGGAGCCCCAGCAGCCTGGGGTACTACTGTACAGGAGTGGAAATGGTGGGCTAGCGTGGCAGTATTGACTGGAAGAAGAGACTCATAGAGAAGGAAGATTTTTCATTTTGGAAAGGCCCATGAATAATGAACCCCAAGTTCCAGCTACATGAGACTTGGAACCCCAGCATTTCTATTGCTCTTTCTGTTTGGTGGTATTTTCTTTTGTTACCAGGGAATGATGTGGGTGGCTCTTCCCCATCCAATCCAGCTTTTTAAAGTTCCTATTCGTTTTCTTTTTCTTCTTTCTTTTCTTTCTTTCTTTCTTTCTTTCTTTCTTTCTTTCTTTCTTTCTTTCTTTCTTTCTTTCTTTCTTTCTTTCTTTTTCTGAGGTTCTCTACATAGTTCTAGCTAGACTCAAACTTGCAGCAATCCTCTTGTCTCTGCCTCCCCAGTGTTGAGATGACAAGTGTGTGCTACCACGCCTGGATGGATGAAAACCGAATTTTAAAACAACTTATCAAACAAGCAAAAACATAGCATGAAGGCAGGGAAGACGGACTGATTTCTTCTCGGTCTCCATTTATCCTCACGCCTGTGGCTTTGTGGTCCCTTTCGTATCCTGCCCCATTAGTCCGGAATTCACTCAGACCTTCTGTAAAATATGAAGCGGCAGATGCTGCATAGGGGATTGAGACAGCCCGGCTCAGCTCGCAATTCACACTGAGACGCACTGATTTACCAGGGGGAAGTGTGTTGTGTGCCCTGGGTCCTGGGCCCATACGGGAGAGAGATTGCCAGGTAGCTGAGGCCCTTTCGTACACACAGGGGCCTTGGGGATAAAGAGACAGGCGGGCCAGCTGCAAGTCACCAGGGCTCTGCCCAGCCTTCGCCCATGACCAGTTCTTCCCAAGGGCTCCACAGCAGGCTGACTTTTAGAGTAACAGAACCAGGCCATTGACTTAGCAGCGGGGGCTGGGAGAGAGGGAATTGGCCTGTTGGACAGCCATCAAGGTGGTGTGAGGTTCTTTATACTAGCCCTTCTCAGCAGGATTCTGGGAGGCTCCCAAGCTCAGAAGAGAAGCCACAGGGTAGGAGGGCCAGTAGAAGGTGCAGCCCTGAGTGGACTTAGTCCTGAGTGGACTTAGCTATAACCTGCTTTTCCCCATGGAATGGGGGTTCTGCCAGGCCATGCATAATGCCACTGTCACCCTTGCTATTTTTTAAAAGTTTATTTTTATTTTATGTGCATTGATGTTTTGACTGAATGTATGGTGGTGTGAGGGTGTTAGATCTTGGAGTTACAGACAGTTGTGAACTGCCATATGGGTGGTGAGAATTGAACCCGGGTCCTCTGGAAGAGCAGCCAGTGCTCTTAACCACTGAGCCATCATCTCTCCAGTCCCCACCCTTGTTATTTTACATCCTCAGGAACACAAACTGAAGGCTTTTTCAGAAAGCCACCGCTTGGGAATAGTCCCAGGGGCTGCTGTGGGGACCCTCCCTACACCTGCAGCCTGAGATGGAGTTCCCCATAAGGAGCAAGGCGTGTCTCCCTGCTCACGGGCTCAGAACCTAAAATCCCAGAACTTGGATGGAAGGAAAAACTACCTTCATTTTGATCACTCCCGGTGCCCTCCCTTCCGCTAAGAACAAAGACCACAGACCACAGCAGCCCCTGGGACTCTGGGGCTTTATCCTCAGTCAGGATCAGAGAGACCTGCTGCCATGTTAGAGCTATTGAAACGATTGGAAAAATAGCACTGATTCTTGTCAATACCTCGGAGCAGCACAAACGCCTTCCTCCCCTGGGAGTGTGTTCTTTGACACATCCGTGGAGAGGCCTGCCTGGTTACAGCATCACAGCCTCCTGTCCATTTAATATTGCATATGGAAAAGCTTTCCTTTTAGAAAGATTTACTTAGTTTTATGGGATGTGTGTGTGTGTGTGTGTGTGTGTGTGTGTGTGTGTGTGTGTATTTGCATGTATGTAAGTGCACCTTGTGTGTGCAGTACCTGAGGAGGCCAGAAGAGGGCGTTAGATCTCCCGGAACTAGAGTTACAGGTAGTTGTGAGCTGCCACATGGGTGCTGGGAGCCAAACTTGGGCCTCTCTGCAGGAGTGGTCAGTGCTCTTAACCTCTGATCCATCTCTCCAGCCCTGAAAAACATGCTTAAGACAGTTGCTTGGGCTTCATCCAACTGTCAAAGAGATCAGTGACACCAAAGGGACACTCAGCTGATCCTCAAGGCCTGGTGGGGAGTCCGTGGTAGCCTGCTACGCAGCTGGAAATGTCCCCCACAGGCTCCTGTGTTTGAATATGTGGTCCCCAGCTGTTCTGGAAGGTTGTGGGGTCTTAGGAGATGGGCCCCAGCTGGGAGAAGTAGGTCACCTGGGGTGAGCCTGGAGGTTTGATAGCCTGATCCTGCTTCCTCCTGGCTCTTTTGCATCCTGTCTATGAAACCTGTGTGACCAGCTATTTCCTGGTCCCCACCACCCACTGGTTCCCTCGGAGCCAAAACACCCTTCTTCCTTAAGTCATTTTTATCACAGCTTTGAACAAAGTAACTCACACACCTCCCTTATCCACTGAGATACACTCCTAAGCCCCCAACGATATCTCCAACTGCACAGGGTGACCGTGATAACCTTTCACCTTTTCTAGCTTCTCTCGAAGGGCCGGCTTGGCTGATCTTGCACGTGACTACCCCCAGCCACGCCCGTGAGCCACGATAAAAGTAAGGAGCAATCAGCAAACCTGGGGAACACAGAAAAGGGAGGCTGGAGAGAGAAGGGACCCTGTTGAGAATGGGGTCCAGGGGCCGGGGCGGTGGCTCAGTGGTAAAGTTCTTGCCACTCAAATGCGAGGACCTGAGTTCGGATCCCCATAAACCTGGATACGGTAGGGCCCGTGTGCAATTTCGGCCTTCCTATGTCAGGATGGGGTATGGAGTCCAGTGTCTGCCTCAAAACCAAACCAAAAAGTAGCCCTGAGACTATCATTAAGGGTGGGAGTTCGGGGGGCCTGGCCTCTGTGTCTGGGGCCACACGGACTGCTGGAGCCTAGGTGAGGCCAGAGCAGCCAGCTGGGGGCGGCGGGGGTCAGGGGACCTAACTTCCACTAAGCCTCGCATTTGTTGGGCTGGAAATCTCAGGGTTCATTCCAGCATGGAAAGTGTGCTCAGTGCCTCCCAACACCCAATCTGCAGCCCAGTGATAAGAAAAAAGATGGCCCGGCGGTGGTGGTGCACGCCTTTAATCCCAGCACTCGGGAGGCAGAGCCAGGCGGATCTCTGTGAGTTCGAGGCCAGCCTGGGCTACCAAGTGAGTTCCAGGACAGGCGCAAAGCTACACAGTGAAACCCTGTCTCGAAAAACCAAAAAAAAAAAAAAAAGAAAAAGAAAAAAGATGGTCACCGGGCAGGTGCCATGGAGTGGACTTCTAACTTACGGCTTTGAAACCCAGCTCATGACTCCCCGGCTCAGGCACACGCTCGCTGTAAGCGGCATGTGGAATTTCCAGTCGTGACCTAGGCTCTCGTGCAATGTGGAATTTACATAGCCCCGTGTGAGCGGCTGTGTGTTGAGTATGCATGTGTACCTGGAGATGGAATGTGTGTGGATGGTGCTAACGGGCGGCTCTGGGCATCTGGAAGGTGTTGGGTTTAATGTCCGGAGCTGCTGGCCAGTCACCTAAGAGCTTGTGTGTGCGCTGGCTGCAGCTGTACAAACTACACCGCCCCGGCCCAAGGCCCTATCAGGGCCATTGAAGATACTGGCTGCTTTGTGAGTCTCCACCGGGGCCCTGGCCCCGAGGGACTGGCCTGGCATGGGTGGGTCTGTCTGAGGCTGCTTTCATTCCTGCCCACCAGGGAAGCAGCTCCACGAGGGTCATAGGTGGTGGTCTGACCCACGGACTACACCCACTCCTCTCCCAGGGAACCCTATCCTGTACCCCACATTTCGAGGTCCTTCCTGAAGGCTCTGTTTGTATTCAGGGCTGCCAGGAACACAATGTGTTTGTAGGGACTTGGGAACATTTGTAACCCAGAGGTGGGGGTGGATTTGAGGTTGACAGTTGACCCCACAAGTAGAGACAGGGTAGGGTTGGAGTGTGACACCTCTCCATCCATCCATCCATCCATCCATCCATCCATCCATCCATCTGTCCATCCATCCATTCACCCTCCCACTCATCCATCCATCCATCCATCCATTCATCCATCTGTCCATCTATCCATCTATCCATTCATTCACCCTCCCACTCATCCATCCATCCATCTATCTATTCATCTTTCCATCCATTCATCCATCCATCCGTCCGTCCGTCCGTTTGTCCGTCCATCCATCCATCCATCCATCCATCCATCCATCCATCCATCCATCTATTCACCCTCCCACTCATCCATCCACCCACCTACTTGTCCACTCACTTCACTGACCCACCCATCTCTCCCTCCTTGTGAACAATCTGAGCGAGTCCACCCTGTCCACTCAGGAAGAGCTGTACAGAAGCCACTCTGCGCCTTTGTAATGTTCTGACCCACTTGGGGAAACAAGAACCAAAGACACACAGAGTGAGCAAGAGTGCCAGGCCCGGGCTTATGTGCGAGGACAGCAGAGCCGCTGGACCTCAGATGCCCACGGGCCTGCTGTTCTGCCCGTTGGCCGAGGGTATCCCTGTCGACCGCTGCTCCTGGGTTTCAATGCCTGTGCCAGCAGGTCCCTGCAGGTGGGACACACCCTCAGCAAATGTAAGCCATGTCCCAGGGCAGGAAGTCACAGGCCTGAGGAGCCCTGAGGTCTGAGGTCATACAAGCAAGCCCGTCTTGAGTAGCTAGAGAAAGGCATGGAGGGCAGAGGTCCCAGCAGCCCCCGTGAGAGGTGCAGTTGGCCGGCCTGGGAGCAGGATCTGGGCCTGACTAACTGCTTCATTTCAGAACACGCTGCAAAATGGCCCGCAGTCGGACGCCCCCTTGGAGAGTGAGCCCTGAGCCCTCACAGTCTTCCCCTTCCCCGAGGAGGGCTATGAAAGGTGGGCACTGGGGGCTAGAACCAACCACGTGGGGTGTCTCCACCTCCCTGAAAGGAAGCCAGACATGTTAGTACCTGTAATTGATTTTCAGGGACAGAACTGATATTGATAGTCTGTGTCCTGCCCCCTGCTTCCTGTGCC